TAACGATCGTTACAAATTTATATTATATTATATATTACGTTAAAATTAATTTTTAAAATAAAAAAATCTGATACTAAAGTACCTACTGCGCCAAGTTGTTTCTAAATTAAAGATGATTGGACTGACTTGGAAAGATGGCCTTGCTAGCGCTTCGTTATATTATTTGTTATATATACGTTATTTAATTTGCAGCTGTACAAATTAAGTTTTAACTTTTACATTGAACATCAAAGTGATGCTCAATGTAAAAGTATATTAGTATTAGAGGGAGAAATGACAGTTAAAAAATCAATATGACCGTTAGCAGTCAGTGTCCGGGAGGGTGGCAGCACAAAGGGTGTCGCGCACGAGCCGGTATTGTTGCGCCCGCGCAACTCATTACAACGAATTGCAATCATAATGCAGATTTATTGGGGACGTCTGCACAGCACTAATATAACAATCGCTATATTCTGAATCGCTACGTTATTGCTTGGTTAAACTGCATTATACTAGTTGTGCATTTTTCACTTATTGTTTATATATTTTTTATTTTTATATTATAATATTGTTTCCCGACTTCAAAAAATGAAGAGGTTCTCAATTAGACTATATTTTTGTATGTATATTAAGCGATTGTAATTTTTTGTTTAATTAAAAACGTTATACCTCAATGGTTTAACGGAACCATTAGAAAGTGAAGAAAAAATTTCATCACTAAGGGTTCTTTAATTTTGTGTAATGTGCAACGATTTCAAATGCAATTAAATTATGTGGATATTCTTTTTAGCTATTTGAGGTCGGTTTTTACTTTATTGAAGTTCAATTTTTATGATATTAGACAGCGAGTGAGACAGTAGCGGCTTTATTACACATGAGGACTAAAATAAAATGCCTTAGTCAATACTTTCTTTTAAAAAAAGTTAACAAACCTCTGTCTTTATCCGTCAAAATAGAAACAAAAAGAAGGTTCGATGCTGCATAGCGGTAGAAATAGGTAAAGCTTACTTAGACGGCGCTTAGACGGAAAAAGGGCACTACCACAGATAACAGAAGCACTAAAAGATAAAAGTTTAATACTTCTGATACCTACAAGCACTACCATCAAGCAATCTAGTGGGATCTTATATGACACCAGTAATGCACAAGCGTAAAGAAAAAAAAAAACTTTAATAACGGTCAGTTGCAATATCTATAATTGCAATCTCAACACAGAATTTATGTTAATGTAAGGACAAAATTTCAATTGCAACAATTCTAATGTTTTATACAATGTTAGAAACCCCGCAGATGTCCGCTTACATTCCCATAGGCAAATCAAATAGGAAAGTTCGACGACCCCAAAAAGGTATAATTATGTTTCGTAACACAAAGTCAAAGGGACGTAAGAAATTGGGTGACCCGATTATTTCTTAAGACCCCCTACATAGTTTCTACGGTTGGTCAGTTTCAGACAATAAAATCCTGACCCCAAAGTGCGATATAAGTGCTCTTAGAACTTAATAGTTAAGCATACATCTGCCCAAAATTAATATTAGTATAACAGTTCGCGTGATAGAACTGAATTTACGGTACAGTCCAAAATATGTTAAATGGCAAGTTCAGAAGGTATACTAAATAAGTTATTATAATAAATTTGTTGATGATTGCAATAATAAAACAATGGCAACTGCAAGTAATATAACACTGTCAAATCATCAAATATGAAATAAAAAGACCGCCATTTTGCAACAAGCGTTTATTAATTGAGCAGCCGAGTGATAGTCGAGTTGACGCGTACCGCGCCTCATGTCGTGTATCTTCGCGTGGGTGCGACAAGGATATGCAATATTTACTACACATTGTACGCTATTTTGATTTTTCATAGTCGATTGAATTGTTCACATAGTAACGCCATTAATCATTGGGTATGTTTTTAAACCCAACGGTTATATAGGTATAGAGTATAGACTACAGCCGTGGTGGCTCGCTGTAAGTTTCAGTTTCACAGTATCAGAGTAACCCGGGTTCGATCCCCGCCGGCGGCAATGAAATTGTTAATTTTAAGTTTAACTGCTGATTAACGACGTGCTCAGCGGTGAAGGAAAACTAGCGTGAGGTAACCTGCACGTCTGAGAAATGAAAAAATATTTTGAAGATATGTGAAGTCCGCTAACAAGCATCGGAGACGCGCGGAGGACACTTCCTTGTGCTCAACACAGAGCCGCATAGGCTATATATAACTTTACTTTCATAAGACTTAGTTTCTTTTTTTTTATGTCCTCCTCCTTGTTAAATTACTCGAGCTGGTGGAGATGATGTACAGGCAAAATTATAGTCTATGAATAATTATCCAGATTCGGAACAGTTATTTATAGGTCATTCAGATACTGGACCCGTGCAAAAATCGTACCCACGACCTGCAGCGTGTCTGTCAGCCACCTTTACAAAGTCGTTGACACTACAAATGCGCATGTTCGATAATTGTTGCATCGCATCCATTTCTTATGCACATGAAATTTACTCATTTTACATAATAGCACTCTATTAGCTAAATGTCAGATTTATGCAACGAATACTAATGGATACAGTAATTATTGAGTATCAGAGCATGTTATAAATCTAATAGCTTAAATAAATCGCAAAAGTATTTATGAATAAAATTTTATATTTTACAAAACGTATTTTAAAATATAAGAATTTCGTTACAATAATGGCAGCTTAGCTAGCTACGCAAGCGAATCACACATTTTATAATAAGTATCATATAGATTCGTTACCAAACATGTGCTAACTAAAATAGGCCAAATGTGGGAGACTCCTCGTATTCCTTAGGTGTGGCAATATGTCAAAACAAACAATATATGTAGGTCAAGCTACTGTATTCTGTTAATAAATAATTAAAATGCTCAAGGGTTTTTTTTTTCTTATCATTCAAATCAAGATCATGAAATAACATAATAAGCAGTTTAACACTGTTTTTTTAAGTTTAACGCCCTAATACCGGAAGCTAAATTAAAAACCAACTAAGAAGGCATTAAGTTTTAATTTTTAATTATGTGCCTTGAAATTACTTAATAAGGGCTTCCAACTTCGATCTATTATGAACTTCTTAGCACCTTGATGGACAAAAAATATTTTGCACACTGGCCATTAACAAAGAAGGTAATAGGATGCATTTGTTCTTGAGTTTGTAAGGGGATGTAAAATAATAGTTGAAACAAAAAATATAATATTGTTGTTTCGGTAACTTACGATTGGGAAAATTGGGAATAAATTAAAAAACAATTTATGCGTGATGTATAAGTAAAAGTTTAGTTATGTATAATTATTGACAATTGTTTAAATTAGGTCATACAAATATTTTTAAGATAATGCTCCAATGTTTTTTTTTATTATAGGATAAAAGTCAAGTAAGTGGTTGTTGTGGCCTATAGACATCTACATCTATCCTCGATTACCAATCAAAATGCAGATGCGTTGTCACCCGTGAGGACTAAGATGGAATTCCACGTTTCCAGTAAAAAGGGTCTCCGGTTCTCTACACTCACCATACGAAACAGCAGCGTTAAGCTGCTATTTTACACTGGTGGTGAGAGCGTGGTCTTTCCCCGGTTAAGCCGACCTATTCGTGCTACTATACTACTAATATAGCTGCAGCATGGCTCTACTATAAAATGTATGTTTATAAAATGTAAGCCATGGTTCGTATTTCGTATTGGAAAAAAATGGCACTGGTGTTGCGATGAAATCATGAAATACCTATTTAGGCCCGGATATTTGTTCGACGACGATGTTCCGATCAAGCTTAATTCATCTTAAATTATTTAAGTTGTATTGCCAAGCACTTTCTTATATCACATATATGGTTTTTGGACCAATTACATCAAGCAACTTCACTCATGATACTGCGTGTACAAAGACTAAATCTTTCTGAACGACGTACGTACCTACAATATTACAGTGCATATCAGATGTTTTTTGGGCGCGTACAGAGTAGAACACTGATCAAAATAAATATTATTCAATCTGTAAGGAAGAACCATGATTCATTCACAGTATACAACTACTCCATATCGTGTCGTAAAAGGGTACAGAGGGAAACAAACTAGGAGGTGGGCAGCAGTGTCTCCCTAATAACAACTAAACAAAATAACTGCGGTTGCCTAACCGCCTGGCTAGCGTGGTGTTTGAGGTGGTGAGGCACATGGATCTGTGAAGTGGGCTATGTTTAGCAGAGAACTTCGATTGCTGTAATGATGAATATGACGATCCAGTCTCTTACTGGGAAACACCTAATCCTGTTTGTTTAAGAAGCTTTGTAAATTCTAGCAAATTATGTACGTGTAATGTACGTTCAAAATAAAAATAAAATATGTTAATAAAATATTACTAATCATTTTTCATTTCCATTAAAATTAAATGCATTACAAAATAAAATTATATTAATATTATGTTTTATTTAACTTCCGTAGGTAACCGATTTATTTCTTTTTTAAGTACATATTTAGTATTTACTCTTCCTAAAATCTAAGATTAATGTTTATAAAGTTGTATCATATTCATAATGATTAATAATTATAAATTTGGCTTGTATTTTTTTCATTTAAAAAATTCTGTAATTTGGTATAACATAATGTATTTTAAAAAAAAACTGAATTGTTCATTCATTGCTTATTTGCTTATTGTAGAATCAAGACTACAATTTGCATTGTCCGATAAAAGTCACGACAATCATTTCGCAATGACCTTGAGTATGTTATTCCATGCTGTTAACACGTGCACTAGTTACGCTAATAAGCATTTTTTATCAATCATCCAATATATCACTTCATCAAATAAACATTTATTATTCCATTGGTTAAGATAGACATATAATAGATTTGGCAATTCATCAAATATATAACAAAAAATGACCGCAAAATGAGTATTGACGTATAACGTTAAATATTTACTTTCCTAATTTGATGTCCCTAATGTCATAATATCCGATAAAAATGTTTACAAAATAAAATAATAATAATTCAGTGACGAATACTAACCTGTAATTCTTTTTTGCGTTTTACTGTTTTCTGGGCTTGATACTTTAGTCTCTTGTGACGGTGCACTCGGTTTGGGGGTGGTGATGGTGATAGGTGATCTTCGAAGGGCAGCTGGAACAGACGACGCTGGAACTAACTGCCAGGTGTATCTTTGCGTTCCTGGTAATGGTTTCTCATTGGTGAAGTCAAAACCCCATCTTTGACCATCAAGTTCTAGTTGTCTTGCCAATTCTCTTTCGACAAATCTTCGGTTCTCTTCTCTATCAGTGCAGCCGAATAAATTTCTTCGTACTCCTTCAAGTGCAGTAACACCGCGCACTCTGAGTGACCTAGTGTCCAGCATCGTTGTAACTTGCAAACCTGGAGCCCTCACACTTAATGTAGACATCTTCGAAACGGAGTCCAACTGCACAGCCGAACACAGGCCGAAAGCACTTCCCGATCGCATCCGCGACGCTCTTCGCCTACCACAAATAAGATCAAAAATTTAGTTCAGTTATATGAAAGAATGCAACAGATTTAGCACCGTTATAAATGTTAGGTCCATCACGCACTAATAAGAAAAAAATTGACAGTGTGTAAACAAGTCGTATACAACGCGACGGCGCACGCTCGTGACGTAATACGTCCACACAAACTACGTTCGATTTGCGACTGCGACGAGCAACGACTACCGCGCTGCGCTTACGTTTGCGGGTGCGGCAGCGATGAGCAACGACGCGACGCGACGCGACCATTAGTTCTACTTCTCGCCACAATGTGGCGCTGCTCACAAGTATTTGCCCTATAGCCCTTTTATGTTTGCTGAAGACTAATAAAATATATTATTATTATTATTATTATTAAACCGATTACACAAATGCTAATTTCACTTTTATATTATTATTTGTCGTCATTCTCACTATTCTTAAAAATTATATGATTTAATGAATTTAACATCAAAAATATATAATTTTTAACTGAGTGAATATAAAGTTATTATCCTACAAAATTTTAAAATATAATTTATAACTAAAATAAGCGATTTTTATATTTTAGTAACCATAATTAGTTTTAATTCAATTATTTATTAGAAAGGTGACATATTTTTTGAAATAAAATATTAATATAATTTTTATTGATAAAAGCAAATGTTTAGTAATAAAAAAAAAACCTATTTTTATAAATGTTTTATATTCATATTATAAAGCCAAAAGAAATATTTATCCGAAAGAATTATTGGCTTTCAAAAAATATATTATTTAAAAACACAAATTATTTTGTAACCCAATAAATGGAAAGCAACGTCCTAGAAAATTTTCATTTATTTAAAAATTTGGTGGAAATGTTATTTTCCAAATTTAATGGCAGTATGATTACGAAAGCAATGGCAACACCACTCTCGGACTTGTTTACGAAGAACGAAGACGTGTCTAGTTACGTGTGCAGCATACTTTAAATCTACTTATCGGAAATATTACTATCTCTTTCACTCTTACCCTTAACCCCTTTGTTAAGAGAAGATGGAAGATATATTAATAGTACTTAATGTCGCCGCCATTTTGCCGATACAAGGCTAACTAGATTTGTATGAAATGATTTAAACCAATAATTAAAAAAAGTTAAAATAGCATCAGATATTTTAAAGCAATGTAAAAACATTTGTAAAGCAACATATTCATTTAATTCTAAAATCTAGTTTGCGCATTTATAAATACTTTGTTACTGCTACGTCTAAGAAAGAAATTGTGAAATATTTTGAATGTATCAACTATTCTCCCGATATAAAATGAAAGTTAACTGTAAATTTAACATTTGATAACAAAATTTACAAAACATCACTTACCTTTGGATATAAATAATAAAATTTCACGGAAAATCGCCAATTAACCGTCGGGGTTCACTGCACTGCTGTACTAATTTTCGAGATATGACAATGACGCGATGTCGAGAACGCGGGATCGATGCTCATTGGTTGAAAATGGCGGTCAAACGTTCGATTGGCTCGTATGATTTTAGGCGGCAAATTTCGGTTGGTCGAGGCAGCGGATGGCGCGAAATAAGTGTAAGACTTTCCGGTGCGCATGAGCTTTGTTAAGGAAAATTTTATTTGGCGCCTTTTGTTTTCGCTCATTTTCCTCTTATGTTATTTCTATAATATGTTGGCATACAGATATATGAATATTCTTTCATGAATATATAAATTACATTAGTTTAAGTGTTACCTAATGTTAATACATAATATTATTTTCGTTTTAGAGTATAAAATAAATATTTTTTATGTACTTGATCTATTTTATTTGCTTTATTTACAGTTTGTTGAATAGACTTTAAAATACAACTTTGAGGCAATATGACCATTATTGCTTGAGATGTCGTTTTCATTTACAATGACAAATAACTCTTGATATTTTATGCAAGTTAGCGTAAAATATGGTATTAAATAATTATATAATTTTTATACTTAGAAGTGGTTGTCACTTGACGGAGTGACGACCTGGTAAGATTTGCAGAAAGTAAATGGATGCAAGTGGCTCAGGACCGTGTTTTATGGCATTCCTTGGGGGAGGCCTATGTTCAGCAGTGGACTTGTAAAGGGCTGTAATGATGATATAAATAGAAACTTAACTTTATAGTGACTATTAGGCAATACGATAAATGTGGATAGAAGGGAATAAGCAAAAAATTTTTTTTACTATTAGAGTTGAATTGGTTATGTTAAAATATCTTAAGTTTTATTACACATACCAATGCATGTGTAACAGGTTTATGGTAAAATTAGGTTTTTGATCAAAAACCTAAACTTGTTTAGTTTTATGATAGAATAGAATGATTTTTATTCAATATGGATTATTACATAATACTTATTGAAAGTCATTATTTTATTTACCACTGGTTTCAAAATACCTCTGTCCTGGGAAGAACCAGCAAGAAACCCAGCGGGACTTTTTTTTTAAATATAATTTCACTTAACAATAATTTTGTTTATACTATTTTAAATGAATTTTCATAGAACCAGCATGGTGGTGATAAAATTTAAGCTTAGGGTAGGTTCCCCCCAAAGGGTTTTTCGCCTTGTCGTGGCGGGGGGGCTTTGTAGCCGTGGCTTGGCAACTCGCGATGAATAAAGAGGAACCTATATGCTACATGACTGGCCCGATGTGGCAACTCCAAATGATATTAGCGAGCCCAGTTCGGATGTGTGTTGGTGGGCTGCGGCGAGAGGGGTGCCCTATCCCCCAAACGATGCAGCCGAGGAGGAGTCGCAAAGTGTGGTTAAGTTGATTTTATCATAAAACTAAAGTATAGCCGTAGTAGGTAGAAAGTGCTAGGTAGCTACTGGGTACCTAGGACCTACACCTCACCCTACATTCCTGTAAGCGGTGGGTGAAGTAAAAGTTGTCAGTAAAATTTTGTGATATCAAACAAACGGGATCTAAAAAAGTTGTAGCCCTCAAAAATGCATTCATTTCGTGGCTGTCATTAAACACGCTGATGCTCGAGTGGCCTCCAATTATATTAGACAGCGGAACGCCTATTGCAGATGCAGAAGAGCCCAATGATCGGAACTGGAATGTTCACAGGCTGATGTCGTAGTGTCTGGCAAATCTTTCCAATCTGGAAGTGCTCTAAGACAAATCTGAGTTTTAAGGTTCCATTTTGACCTTGCCGTTCACTATCTTAGTTTTTTATTGATTTCATTTTAACGGAAACTTACGGTTTAAGTTTACGGTACGCACACAAAAAGCGTTTCCGTTCTGAGCAGATGTTTTCAGTCGACACAAATTAAGGTCAAAAACTGATTTTCTGTGCAGGTGCATACTATGTTTCAAAATAAACACTGAATACAAGCTACAATACATTGATTAGCGTGGTAAATATTTAGATAGAAATAAAGAAAAAATTACGATCTAACTGATCTAAAATTAATAGTGGGTATCTACCTCAAAGAAACTTTCCGTTATCTGTGGTGAATACTTTGTAGAAAAATCGTCACATTGTTAGTGATACTTTTTGCTATGAAGTATATGTACTGTACGTATGTACATATAATTCTATGTTAACGTTCGTAGTAGTCTAGTGCATATACAAACAATCTAATCAAGGCTGGATTATTGATAAATTTGAAAAAGGAAGTCTTGTTTTAAATATTTTTATTTATAATGAAGAACGGTGCTTTTTGCAAGAATCAGACGGGAATTAACTCACAACAATAGAGCTCAGTTGTCGATCGACGTAATTTTCAGCAAGTTTGCGCGTTTACCGCTAAAAAGAATTCCTTTGTCGTATCTCCTCAGTTTCTAGGCACTCCCCTTGCTGCCTCAGCCAGTATCGGTATCCTCGGTGTCGACATATCGAGTGACGTGCAGTTTCGTGGTCACTTGGAAGAGAAGGCCAAATTGGCCTCTAAAAAGCTTGGCGTGCTCAGCAGAGCGGGACAGTATTTCATGCGGGCACACCGCTTGCAACTTTACAAGGCGCAGGTTCGGCCGCACATGGAATACTGTTCCCATTTCTGGGCAGGGGTTCCCCAGTGCCAGCTCCTTCCACTTGTCCGCATCCAGCGCAGAGCGATTCGAATCGTCAACGTCCGAGGTCTTTCCGATCGCCTTGACTCACTGGCACTTCGTAGAGAGATGTTGCATCTCTTTGCGTATTTTATCGCATCTACCACGGGGAGTGCTCTGAGGAATTGTTCGGACTAATGCCAGCCGCTCAATTTCACTATCGCACATCGGGACAAAACTCGCGATACCATCCATATCATCTGGATGATTGGCGGTCCACCACTGTGCGATTCAGAAGAAGTTTTCTACCTCGCACAACTTCTTTGTGGTATTGATTACCACCAGCGATTTTTCCGGACCGATACGACTTAGGGACCTTCAAGAAAAGAGCCTACTCCTTTTTAAAAGGCTGGCAACGCATTTGCGATTCCCCTGGTGTTGCAGTTGTTCATGGGCGGCGGTAGTCACTTACCATCAGGTGAGCCGCATGCTCGTTTGCCCCCTCTCCTATAAAAAAAAAGACGCACTGGTTATAATTTCCAGATATTCTGAGGTGACTAAAAAAGAGCAGCCAGGTATTGGTGGATAAGACGTATGAAAATACTACATTCGCATGAATACTTTGAAAAAGTCGATACTAGTCTATACAAATAAATAAAATTGAAATGTCTGTTTGTAATATCAAAATTATAGCTTTTTACTAAACGCATATGAAAGTATATACGGTACTAATAACAAAAATACAATTTTTAAAGTTTTTGTCTGTCTGTCTGTCTGTCCGTCTGTCTGTTTATCTGTTTGTTCCGGCTAGTCTCCGTAACTGCTGGACCGATTTTGACGGGATTTTCACTGTTAGATAGCTGATGTCACAAGGAGTAACTTAGGCTACTTTTATTTTAGAAAAAGAATTAGGGTACCGCGCATAAAATTTAAATTCCAAATAACACGCGGGTAATGTCAC